TATATTCTAAATAAATTTAAAAAAATTATAATATTCAAAATTACTTCGAACATTCAACGGGCGTTCATATTCATTTTCCTAACAAGTACAGAAATAAAGGGTGATAGTAAAATGAAATAGAGAAAGTTCTTACACTGCTGAAATCACTTAGAAATCATTGAAGTATGGACTTGATGGTTCGTACTTCAATGTTAACCTCTTTAACCTTAACACTTAACTTAAAAGGGTTTGTAACAATTGCTTTAGAATATAAAAAGGCATTACGGATTCATGTTGCAGCATTTTAAATAAATTGCAACACGATAAGTGCAAAGGTGCGCCTCACAAATAGACAACAGCCTAGGTGCACTGCGAAATAAACCTGTGTTTCGTTGATGGTGCCTATTTGGCTATGTAGTCCTTTTTTAAATTGCCTTATAAAGTTTGTTAACAAGAATATCTTATATATGCTTGTTAGAAAGTTGTTGAAAAGCAGTCCTACAAACTGTATTTTTGTGAAATTTTTTTCTTTGACAAACTGGCAGTTAAATAAAAGTCTACGTAACGTGTGTTCCTCGGCACCAATAAAAAAAATAATAAAATCGCGAAAAATTCAGTTTATACCTAATTCCTCACAATCTTCTATAGCGTATATTTATACTTGAAAATGAAAAAGTCGAGAAATAGAATAAAGGCACCGGGTTTTCACGTTGCAGGGGCTGGAATAACTGTTACAGAATACTAAATTCGAATTAGGTTTCACGTTTGCGTTGTGTGTTGCGCAAAATTCAATTAGATGGGTTTATATAGTGGCAATTTTAGCTCAGTTGCAAAATATATAATATAAATATATAAGATCTATAAAAGGTATAATTGAAAGTAACTGGAACGTTCTAGCGGGATAGCAAAATGTGGAACGAAGTTCTAGGATAATCGTCGCCAAGGGTCAGTGACACAGAAATTAACTAAATGAAGTATCGCTATTGGATGTTGCAACAAAATAACAAAATTTATGTTAGGAATTGAGGATAGCACGGATAAAATATTAAAACAGGCAGAGTGGCCGTAAGATTGTAGGAATGCTTCAATGGGAGAGTGGCCCAAGTAGATTTACTAAATCAAAGATACAGAAAAACGCATCTAATAGTGCAATATTTGAAAAGAGAGTATAACTGAATTATAGAGTACGGTAGGCTAGACATGACGCGAACGAGGTTCGTCGATATTAGCACAGAGTAATGGAATAACTACAAAATGAGAATGGGTGATTAATAAGTTAGTGTGCCAGTAGCAAATCTATATAGCTAAATTAATCAACGGGAAAAAAGGCACCGAGCGAGGCCCGCGGATTTGTTGAGGCTACTCTATTTTCTACCAGTCGTAAGCCGCGAATATGTTCGCTCTAAATCGACCCCATTGAAGGCATAGATTGGCGCTCCATTGTTCATTGAGAAAAGTGCCGTTTTAAGAACGGCTTGATTTTTACGGATTTTTTCTGGAGTAATTGAGTGTTGCTATGGTAATATAAGCGTGCGGCCATCTTTACCGTTGGCAATTATCATTGCATATTGTTACAATGCCGTTTCATAGGGCTGTTAAGGAAATTTCAGGCAGGCAAGTTCAGTGAGACGTACTCTCGTTGGAGACAGGTTTTAGATGCTACACTGCAGAAGCAATTCCAAAAACTTGCTCACACAGAAGTAATATTCCTATAGGCTCTGATTCTCTACTATAAAGTTTTAGGAACATTTCAGGATTTTTCAATTAGCTAATTCAATTAGAAGTTTCGTGTTTCGTAAATTGTAATGCTAAACATCGGGTCCTGCGAAGCCTCAATTTTGTACGCTTGATGCATGGATTATTCCGAATTTTCCGTTCGCGAAGAACTACAGATGTTAATCCTATTGTTGACAACAACTAAAAGGCAGCCCTCAAAGAGAATAACGCTAAAGTTTGCAAATAGGACCACTATTGGTGAGAAGAAGGTTTTATATTTTTTGCTAAGTTGCGTTAATACGTGTGATACCTGTAAAATTTTATTAAAATTAAGTGATTGCGCACAAACTTTATAAAAGTTCACGGAAATTTCGAATAAGCTCCACTTAAGCCACTTTGTGAAGGAAATTGATGTACATGTAACGTGACATAGTTTCGACGTGAAAATTGACGCATTTCTGTTGAATCTGAGTGTAGCGCACAAAAACAAAACCATGTTTGTTCATTGGTCTACTAGATAAAATTTCTATAAGAACCGAATCTCAGTATACAAGAACGTACCGTCCAGGTTTCTGTCATACCTTTTGCTATGTCATTTTTAATCATGGTTAATTTACTACTATCGGTAGGGAAGCCCAAAAATTTCAGCTTCGCAGTAAGCTACGTAAAAACTAATAGTAAAAAATAGGAGAATTAATTTTGTATAAATCAAGTTTGATAAAAATATAGTGCATATAGCGCTCACCCAAGGCTACCAGCTACAGTTAAGAATTTTTCTTTGCTGGATAAATGAAATATTATAATATATTTTTAATTCGTATTTCACCAGTGAAGCTAAGATGCTTAGCCCCATCCTAGATATTCGTCAGCGAGGCTTGGGTCAAAATATATGATGTAAAAAAACAAAACTAAATCGAACCTTTATTTTACATATTAGAGACGTATCACTATTAGCATAAGATGCAAATGGTAACTAATGCACGTACATTTTACTGTAACTGATGGTTGCATATAACAAATATTACAGTATGGAAGGCATATCAGATCTTCTCAGCCCCCTGACATGCTTTTCATAATAGTGATGGCATTTTCTCTGTTAGATAGCGAAGCGTCAAGCAGTTACCGCCATATGGCAACATTGATTGCCTAAATAAAAATAGGTAGTTTTAAAGGGGAGAACCGGTGATAGTCACTGGCGACTGGGGATTTGCCACACCAAATATGCCACTGGAAAAGTGGTCATAGTGTTAATGGAAATCGCCAAGTTCTGGAAAATATTTACGGTTCTAGGCGATAGAAAAAAATACCCATCGTCAGGGCCCTTTGAATATACAAACGATTCGCAAACAAAAGTATTATAACGTCATCATGCTGAACTGCTTTTCTAAGATCATGGTTCTTAGAACATAATGGATTCCGTGTAATGCAGAGTAAAAACAGGTTTAAATTGTTGTGCTACTCCGATTGTGCGAGGTACAGGTGCGTGGAAAAATTGACTAAGGTAAATTAGAACAGTTTTAATAGTAGTTGAGGAACTTTGGCCAATGTTTGCAGTGCTATGTTCCTAAGGGTTGCGTTGAAAGTAATCCTGAAATACTACGTCAAGATGATTATTCATTGGCGTTGTGGTTACTTAAATACTCATTCAGCCATCGCCTCAGTGCGGTATGAGGAATAACAGAAGCTTTTAAATACCTTCTTTGAATTCTATTTTATTTAATTCTTACCATTGAGGGTCTTAACAGGGACGACTAAAGGGTGCACGTTTCTCCTTGAGGAATCACGAAGAAGATGCAATCTTTGCGCATTCAGTATTGGCCCATAATCGAGACATTGGTAAAAAAAAAAATAGGTTTTGTTTCGTGCCGTAAAGCGTTAGTCTGTTATTCGGCCCAATATGTGTTTGACTTATCTATACACTTCGTCGATTCAAAACAGTCTATCCTGCTTAATTCGAAATTTGCAGTTTTTCAGGACCTTGTAATACAGGTACCCTTTGAGACGTTTTTCCACTATCAAATTTTATTAAGTCTAGACCTTAATACGTGCCCCAAGTGAAGCAGTTATTGAAGAAGATGTATGAAGTAAGTCGCTCACTCTATTTCTTTTCACCGACATTACTTTGAACAATAAAATATATTCGTACGCAAAGCATAATGTTTTTGGTAGCGTACATTTATTTCGGAAAGGTCATGGTGAATTATCCAATGTGCGCTGGATAGTCACGGACGACTTGCCCTGTTTCTTTTTTATGATTTGCTGTGAACAAAGGACAGGTTGATGTTTTTAGCAATAAGCATTACCTGCAGGACTCGTTTCCATAAAAAATTGTCTTTAAAGGAATTAAGCAGAAAGTGGATTTTTGTTCATTCCCCTTAAGAACGTTTTTAGAGAAAACTAGTTAAAAACGGGCCGCGTTATTACGACGTGGTTCATTATGCATATGTTGACAGCAACTATACATTCATAGCAATTAGAATGAACTTCAAACGACGGGAACGAGTAGTGTGTAAACTTTGATAGTAGCGAATCATAAAACGTTTTAGAAGGACGTATGCACATTTTAATAACATAATAGGTAATAATAATAACAATTTTACTCTATTACTATGTCCAGCTTTTCAAAAAACACCTTTGTACTAGCATTTTTACGAGAGATGTACTACAGTACATTTTTTAGTTTCGATGCAGTAGCGGTCAAAGTCGCCCAAAATTTAATTTTAAAAATTTAAACAAACACTACAAACTTAAATAGCAATCGGCAGCAGGTTAGTAGTAAATAAATATTTCTTCCTTTAATAAAAATATTTCCCCTTCATTATAAAAAACTTTCCTCTAAAGGGAGTATAACTTTTCAATAAGACGAACCGCTCTTTAGATGACCACCCTTCAGATATTTTTCTAATGAGAAGTTTTTATGTTGTTGCGGAAACGCTGTTATCTGTAATTAATCACTTCAAATCAACGAGTAATTGTAATCCCGTCGTTTACTTCTTTATAGACTTAAATGAGTGTGAGCTCCGCTGGCTACTAATTACGGCAATTGAAAATTATAAAGGGAAATACTGCGCAACTATTAGCTATCGGATGTTTATATTTATACTTCTAATAACTAATTTACAGAGTTTTTGCAATGTTAATCCGCGGCTTTTATTCTCGTACTACTTACTGATTTGTTCATAGTGGGCCTTTGTTTGCGATGCAAAAATATGAAAGGAAAAAATGAAAGGAAAATAGTGTCAAATTGAATGAAATTATAACCTTAATTCTTTTTTGTCTTCTTATATTATTTCTGTAGGGGCAACTTGACGATATTTGGATGCAGGAATCCATCTACTTCGCGTGACAGCGGGTACTTGAGTAACTCACCTTCACAATCACAAATCAGCGAAGTCTTCGAATACTTCAGATGTGCTTTTCGATCCATCAGCATTGGGACGCGGGATTATAGTAACTACGACGCGATTGGTGTGTTACACAGTGAGTTCAGAATGATTATAGCTTAACTTAGAGTAACCTAAATAGTATCTAGTTCTATCGGGATAATTGTTTATTATTGAATGTCTACCATACGGCAAAAACTGCTAAAAATGTGCAAGAATCTTTGGTCAGCCCAGTTTCTCTAAATAATTTATGCTTTTTTATTAACGAACCTCAGCAACACCTTTTTAACATACATTATTTCGTCTAGGTAACTGATCGCCACGCTCTTCGGCTTCAAAATTATTAAGAATATTTACTTTAGACCACCAATTGAGTAGCTTACGTCGTGGTCGCATCTCCTACCCAATCTAATTATCTCTCCTTATACGGTCACCAGCTACTCGCCGCTCATACGTCGTTTCCTTGCTTTATTTGGAAAGTTTGAGGGGCAAGATTACTTTTTTTAAAAAGCAGGATGCATGGCAAAAGGATTTCCTATAGTGAAAGCACTGGATATTTGGCATGGAAAAATGTGCTGTTCGCAACAGACATTGCTGAGGTTATTTCAATATATTTATATATATAATACGTAGTACAGAGCGCTGTGACGAGCGCACTGTTCCACTTAGCACACACGACATAGTAGAAGCTATGTGCGGCATAGCAAAGTACAATAGTTCAGTTTTTTCTGTGTTGCTCCATCCATGTTAGCGTTAGAGGCAAAGATCCAAAAGTAAGCGGAAGGCGCCACTGGTCGACTTCGACTGTTCGTTTATTCCGTTGATGTTTTAGTGGACCAAATTTGCGTTGGACACCCCTTAACAGAGCAGCCTATACGTTAGCAAATACACTCAGCGATTATAGCGAGGCGCACTGTAGACAGGCCCAGTACTCTCCTGAGAAAAGCAGACATGGTCTAGCCTACACACTTGCGCTGTGTTGAAGTTTTCCCAAACGAATTCAATACTGCGGAAGTCCATTGGAGTTTAATTGGAGAGGGAGTAACGGCTTTACCCAGCACTCTACCACAGTCATTCTAACACGCTGTATCACTTGCTCGGTGTAACATGTTTCAGAGGAGAATAGCCAGTCATAGATAGACAAATTGTTTTACGTGCTTTAAAGGCAAGAAGCATTACCAGAAAGTGTCATTTGCTGCTAGTGGTTTTGGTTTTCGGAACTGCTAACTCTGATCTTGTCTACTAAATTCATTTTTAAGCCAGCGTCTGTTACGTACTGTTAGAGGCGGCTAAGAACAATCTTAGAGTGATTTTTCCCGTAAATCACGAGGTCATCGACGTAGAGCAAAATATGTATTTTCACGGACTGACGCTTACAAATTAAGCTATTTGGAAGATCCTTCGGTGGGAGTAAAAAAGTAAGGGGCTGAGATATTACTTTAATCCACGATGGTTATCCGTTGGAAGAACTCCGGCTGCGATACTTCATCTTGTACCGTAGTGGAGTTCACCTGCAGAATTGAAGTTATTAGCTGGATAGTGTATATATATATATATATATATATATATATATATATATATATATACATACACTTACAAATTGTAATTGTTTTGATTACTTCGTGATTCATGCCTGCTTAGGCCATGTTAAGTACTAACTTGGTATTAAACTGTATCCAACTAATCATCTTTTCACAAAGGCTTTTTCTCACATATTACATGTGTAGCAGTAAGGTCTTTTTGAGTCTGCACGCCCAACACGTTGGACGTTAGTTATAAACAATCATAGACTTCCTTGCCCGCCCTTAAGCTCAGATATAACACAAAAATTAGTTCTATATATGTCTGAGGCCTTCACGACGTTAAGCACAGAAAGGAACCCAAATCTGCGTGTTACGTGGTAGCACTTGTACATACTTAACCAGCAATACATATTGTTGTCATGACGATGAGGACGACTGAATCACTTGCGGTCTTGCAACGTCAAGGAGCCCTTAGAAGAATTTCTGCATAGGAACCATTACCTGTAGCACAGTAATGTTTAATTTGTCTAGACGCAAAGCAGTAGTAATCCACAGTCAACAGTCTAGACAACAAATATTGTATTTTACCTATTGTACATCAACAAAAAAACAATTAGCTGGGCCTCGAGAACGTTTTTTACGTTCAGATATACTCGATGAAGACCCGTGGCGCTATGCCTCCGACCGGTTCCTCGACGCTATTCTCTGCCAACACGGCAAAGCAACAAAAGTGTCATCATTACCTTTTTCTTCGGAATCAACAAGTGAAAGGTAATGACACATACACATCAGCTGAGAAAGTAAGTTCCAGTAAACCTCCAGCGGGCAACCGGTGTCATCAACGTCCAGACAAATCGAGAAAGTTAAGTTGCCTTTTAGTTAACATTGAATCTATCAGTACCAATCAACTTCAGGCCCTGCGAATGTTTCTACAGTGGTCATGCGTTTACACATTGTTGCATTGCCATCGAACCCTTTTAAATATGCATACAACGTATTTTTTGATATTCATTTATTTTTTTCAAGAAGTATACGCAATCGCTTTTTGTCCCAGGCAAAACAATTTGATAGTTTATGATGGTGTGCTATTTACGCTTCTAAAGCCAAACGATTTTTACAAAAAGAGGCAATCTCAGTTAAACTAAATAGGCTTTCTATTTTTGTGAGACGGTATTAGATGACATAAATACATGCTTGATAAACGGCAAATACACCCAAAGAACATAGACGAGAAAATTGTTACAAGATGAGTAGTTGTAAAGTGCTTGATTGACAATTTCATAAGGTCTTTCAACGAAATGTCTACGCATTTTGAAGGATTATTACTTCAGTATTTATTTACATATAACGGATACTTAAATTAAACAAGCATTCACGTAGAATGTCCAACTTCACTGCTGCCGTTGCGGTTAATACGCTGCTTAGAAGTACTGGCTTTTGATTAACAAACATTTAATTTGGTGCTTCATCTGGCGTAGACCGTAGCTCGCCAAAAAAAAGCCCACGGGCGACAGCTCTGTGAAAGGACTAAGGTAACCTTCCCGTCTTAATCATCACGATAATCTCGTACATCTTTCTTATAACAGATGCAACTAACTGACAATAGTTACTGTAGTGTCCAAAAAGAATGGTACAATTTCTGTGTTGTTTGAAATACACCACATTATTACTCATTTTCGGCATGGCGTTTCTCCGAGTACTATCATTGTCTTTAGTCCGGATCATCTTCATTCACGTACTATCTTTGGAATATAACGTTTTCATTTATTATGTCCTAAAATATGAGAGACACTTCATTGGCGTCAAGCGCACAACGTTGTTATTTTACCAATTTTTCGAATGCTCTCCAATACTCCATAATTCTGGGTGTTTGTGAACGTTGTGTATGAACGTTCTCCATCAACTTTAAACTTGTCTTTCATTCAATTAACTGGAAATTACGTAAAGGGCTCTGTTTGAAACTATGATAGTTCTACAATTTGAGAAGAAAAACGGAAGAAGCCAATAATCTTATTCTGATATCTAAAATATGTTACTGTTGATGAGCAATTGTCTTCACCTAAGACCTGATGTAGATCATCATGGGTTCCTATTTGGAAACTGGTGAGAGAAGAGGAGATTTCCACTTGGAGAGTTCGTTTTTCTTTAGACGATAGAATTATGCACAGGGTGGTGGCAACAATTTTTTCTCAGTTCTTCACTGGCCATTTAACTACTTGCAAAAAGGATCACAATTGCAGGAACCTGCCGTAGAAATGAACGACAATATATGAACGCCTAAATTAGCCAAACAAAAAAGAGATAATGTGGTGCTTTTTCCAAGCAAGCTGTATAAATCAATTATGTTTCTATCTTACAATTACGTATGAAATATAACTATATAAACAAAAAGTACTTCTAATAGTTTTTATGCAAAACTCAAAGCGCACACCGAAAATGGTGAGATTTTATAGTAGTACGTAATTTCGTGTAGAAATTACTCAAATAGCAGGAGAATGCAATGTGAAGTTCCTCTTGTAGATGATCGCTCGAGAAGTTTCTTAATATTCCGGACTTAGCTGAGAAGCAGCGAGAGAAACATTCAACGCAGAAACTTTTACTTCAGTTAGCTAAGGGACTTGCCGCTTACAAGCTTAAGTTACACGTATAAACATATTTCAAAAACAACATTATAAAAGTAACAAAACTGCGAAAATCTATTCAGAATACGAAAAAAATTGTGATGGCAAACGTATAATTGAGAATGAAATTATTAGCAAAATGCAGCGACGCTAAAAAGGATTTTTATTAAATATTTTGAAATAATGTGTATGTACGTGCATAAAAACTGTATATGAATGAATAAAAATATATTTAAAAAAAAGTTCTGTTCTTAGTTCTGTAGTTAAAAAGAAGTCTGGTTCTTGTCATCGGTCTATAGCTGAAAATATAAATAATTATTAGGTTATGTACTTATTATAGTTCCTCTCCTGACTTAAAGAACCTTTCGATTTATAAACTGAAATTCTATAAAAATACGTTGATTTTATTATTTTATAGAAAATGTTTATCTACAAATTATTTTTTTCGAATCTAGGCTTAATATATAGAAAGAATATTTTTTTTTCAAAAATTGGTCATTTTGACCATATACAGCATAAATAGGTATAAAATAATGTAAAGATGACTTGATGTAAGCAGAGCTTAAAATGAAAGCCAATTATTTATATGTTATGTAAAGCTATCAACTAGCCAAAGAACTTGAGTGCTGTGTATTGGGAACGGGGGTGTGGCATCCTTACCACAGAATATGCCATCAGCATGCTTCTTATTCCCTGTACAATATACTCCGTAAAATACCCAACCAGTTTAGTAATACCGACTCCATCTATGGTGAAGATCTTCAAAGATCATATTTTACAGCAAAAAGCTATCGAGAGTTTACACCAATTTTCAAGGCCCCCTTGTCGGTTGCGAAATTTTCGGTACGATTTATACACTCAAAATTTATTCATAGCTTTCCTTCCAAATACCTTCTGTAGCACTGAAATTATTTTGAACGCTGGAAATTGTTTTTAGTATAGAACTTAATCTATGCTTTTTAGCACTGCATTTTCGAGTTTCAGAGAAAATACACACGTTGCTATAGTACGTACTATAGAAAGCTAGTTACTATAAAGCACACATTTGAATACTCAAAAATTAATTTGGGACGAGTAGACAACCTGGTAGGTGTGGGGCCACAAGGCCAGTTACATGCCAGGCCTGAACCAACAAAAGCAAATACTTCAAATAAATTACTGCACTTCCGCTGGAACCGTCATTTGGGGTTTGGCTTTAACGAATATGAGACATCGTAGATGTATTCTCAATGTCGGGAGATGTTAATACAGGTAAAACTTCTTGGTATGAGACTGAACTGGATAGAGAACTTAAGCTATCAACGTCAACTAAGCAACGATAGAACTTATAAACGTTACTTCTCGAGTAGCATCCTTTTTCTAGCTGTTTGCTACATAAATATAAACCGTAGTGTCAAATTTCCTATTTCTTCAATTCAGATACTCTTTAAGTAAGCGACATTAGTGTATGCGCCATATTGGGTTCTAGATTTTCAAAGCAAGTTACTTTATTTCCTATAATGTATTCTTTTCTGAATAGGGCGTCCATTATCCATCAAAAGAACTAATATACTAACAAAAAGTTTATATATTTTGTATCTTTTCAGTGAGGTCAAACTTCCACCTGTCGGCTGTGGAGCACCACAAAGAGGTAAGATCCCTGTTTTAGTCATGTTGAGAATTGACATTAATACACATATAATTTGGCCAAAGATCCCTTAACGATCGAAACACCGAATTTTTTTCTACACCAAAACCGCTTTCGTATTGCTTCATTTGATTTAGGAGAACAACTATCACAAACATTTTGTTGAACTATTCCCCATTATGACGACGGCGCACCTGAACCGCTCTTTTCTTTATGGAATATTAACAAAGTAGCATCTCTACCCTGGCATAGGAGTGGCCGCTATGTAAGCATTTATTAAATAGTAGCAAAATACCAGAACGACGGCATACTTGAAACGATAGCTGCGAACTTCATCTGTACCGAAGGCTTTCAACATTTTCCATTAGTTCCCAGCCTGCAAGATCTTGTGGAAGGACCATTTACTGAGGTCCTCGTTCCCCACGCTGCGGAAGAAACGGCACCGTCGGTGGTATTGTATCTCTTGACAGAAACATCCCCGGGACACGAGCCAACAATTTAAGCGAGTAAACTGACAAGTTGCATCACTTTTATGGTTGGCGTTCTACATCGGCGATTAAATGGGTCTCCAATTGTTTGCAATGTAATGTTGTCTTTATGATGCATACGTTCTTAACAGATTGTCTTGAAAATAGAGAATGAAAAGTAGAATTAAGACTGTATTTAGGCCATAAGTCTAAAGGTTATCTGAGCAAGGCTACAGGTATAGTTGAGCCACGGCTTATGCTTACAGAGACTGTACTGTAAACTGGAAAATTTCAGCCAGATACCGTTTACCGCGTCAAATAGAGAAACTTCCTGTGTGTTTTTCAGGAGCTTTTCTATATCTATATATTCGTGACAACGTTTAGCGTTTTACAGTAAACGCAAGTAAAACTCGAACAGTGAGGTGTAACGTCATCAGTATGTGAGTTCGAATGCCTGTGCCCTCCGACAAAGAATGATTTTTGGCCTGAATTTTACCTTCTCCTTAATTACGTTTGACGCAAAACTATAAACTATTGAACTTCCCACATGTATAAGAAAGTCAATGTCGAAAGATTTGTCGGTAAGATTGACTACTCAGCAACCAAACTCCGTGAATGTATGTAGGAGAGTCGTATTTGCGGCTCGAGTTCGGCTGGTTAGGGCGGGCGTTGAAGTCATTGGCATTGACCAGAGAGGATACAAAATGAGAAGGGAACGCTTCCAGTTCATTAACGAAGTTCTCCGCCATTACGTATGTTGATTCCGAACAATTCAATCGGCCGAACATACGCTGCTACAAGCCTTAGTCGCAAAATATTATTGCCATTGTCCACCAGGGACGGCGTAACTTGTTATATCTTATAGTTGTGAAAGACGAATATGCCTCCACTAGGGCGATTTATTTTGTATTTTGATTTACAAAAATTAAACACAATAAGTTATAAAAGCTAGCTGTTAAGTTTTCGTTGATTCTATTTTATTCGATGCTTAGCAACCACTGGAGGAAAAACCATGTATGCCCTGAACCTGCATTAAGTGATATCCCGTTTACTCCTAGTTTCTTTCCTACGAGACCCTTACGTCAGGTACTTGCCACCTGATTCATATACGTGTTGTTTCATTCTGCCACATTGCCATCGAGCACAATAGCACCAGCTTTTGATTGTGAAATCCAATGGTCTATACTTTCTTTGATTCGACGCTCCCGCTGTAACATGCCGGTAAATACCAGGAAAATAACCATTGATATTGTTCTGTATGCTCGGCAAGTTCTCTCCGCCGCTGCTCTCTGGATATATTTGTTACAGTTTTGTATTATGATTCAATTGTTGTGTGGCTTTAGATAGAGGTCCCATAGAAGGTGGTATAGAGTTCAACAGTGGCGAACATCCGTCCGTTCGGGGACCCCCTCTATGAGCAAAAGCACGAAGACTATGCTTATGGATTACGAATCAGGACTCATAAAAATAAATCTCTCGAGGCAAGTCGCTTCTCTTTTCAACATCACTTGCCATGCACAACAAAATATAATCTTCTACTTCTTCACATTTCTCTTTTTTGGTTTTCAGTAACTTCTAAGTGCTAGATTACTATTATAAGCTTGTGTGGAATCTATTTTGCGAATATGCGCGTGTTCAGCCAGGTGTTTGGCCAGTAAACTCCCCGCTATATACTGTCGTATTAGATAGACGAAAAGGCAGGAGCACTGAAGGTTAATCTAGCGGCTTTTTCTCCTTTGGGATACAGGTCAATTGCCATTGTTTCTACTTCTTCGGGAAGTGTCCGAGGAATCTGTCCGGTACTTTCTTGATGTACTCCCTTTGCAATCTACTCAAACATGATACCTTTCTGTGGCGGGCGAGGGAATTTATGTCCTTCAAGCTACATGTTCTAACCAATCGCATTCTTCACTTGACTCGGAATGATGATCTCTCGGAGACCCGCGATTGATTCTCCATTTTTCATACGAGATATAGGTAGAAGATAAAGGAGGAACTTTTTGACGATTTACTTAAGTTTGCCATTCTAGATTATTCTTTTCCATAATGGATATTTCAACCTCACCACAATTGTACATTAGTTCAATAAGTGCGTTTTTATAGTTAGTCCCAAATCGTAATCAATGACTAGGTACAACGTATGATTCTAATCCTAACATGTTATAAGCTCATTTTTTTTGGATTCAATACCACCCGTTAGATATCTGAAATGTTCAGAAATTACAGGCGGTGCATGCAATTCGGCCTTTATGTCTAGACTCCGTGCACCTAGCAATAAAACTTGCATTGATTCTGTCGATCAGCTTTGTCCACTTGGTCCGAACGTTTATGATGGCAATTTCTCCAAGTATTCTAACGATCAACCGAAACTGTTTAGCCTCCTTATGGAACGTCAATGGACGCGATGCTATGAGTGGGCACATATATTTGTCTAAGAATGTAGCCCAATTTAGCTATATTTTTTTTTTAGAAGATAGGCCGAGTACATACGTTTCTTTTGTATAACAATTTGTAGAGGAAGGCTAGCTTTAACTAAAAGATATTCATTTTTCAGTGGTCTGCCAAAATCAAACAGGTCGTTGGATCTACTAAGCAGTCACTATCAGACTTACCAGGAGCCGAATGACAAAAAGTTCAGCCTGTCAGCCACATTATAAGTAGCCTCAGTGTTCATCAACGGAATCAGTCAGTAAAGCGTGAAGAAAACATGCGGAAGGTCAATTAATTACAACAGAAAATCTACACATCGGCATGGTCATAAACAGCCCGGATTGTTGGAAAAAACCTTGCGGGAAAATTATTAATACGGAACGGAGCGGAACTTCATCAATTCCAAGAGCCTGTTACCGCACAATACAACTTCGTACAACCTTAATTGGGTCGTGTTCACATCAACTAATTAGAGATTATGAGGTTGCAACAAACTCATCGCCAAGCACGGATCAGTTTCGGTGGTACCGTTGCTATGTCAACAATCTGGGAGGCAAATTTCGAGCTATTCTCGATTAGACAGTGATGAGCTAAGCTTTGCTGATAGTGATCCAGCTGAGTGAAAATTGCATGGTTGGACAGAGAAGGAATGCTACCAGCCAACTGTATCGAACCTTACTAATAGTATATTTTTTTTAAATGTGAGCTATATAGATACTTAGACAAAAAAGGCACGCCTATATGAAAAGAGCGGCAGCTAGGGTTTAAAATTTTTTAGGCAATTCATTGAATAAATAGAACATAGGTTCTGACCTATATGTGTTTAACCTATACGTGTATGTTTCAGACTAACGTGCCTAGCCGAACACTCATATAAAATTTTATAATATCTAATTAACATACAACCTATCAAAAATGTCAGGCGGACGTATCGACTCGAATTGCATCAGTATCATCATTGTCACACTGTCTTCCTATACTGCGTTGTCTTCACTGTGTGTAATAAGACAAATAACCGCAAAAAAAGTTTGGCCTAGGCTAGACAATGTCCCTTGAAGTCCTTATATAATTCTTGTCGTGTTCAATGTAATGTTTCAAAAACAATAACTTGTAAAAGCTTATATATATTTCAGGTAAATTCAGCGTAGCGAACATAAATGTCTCAAATAAATAACCAAATGTTTCATGCTTTTAATAAATTTTTTCTTATGTTTGTCCATCTATAGAAAATGCATCTAAAAATTAATCGAGTCGTGCCAACTCTATTTATTGTAACCATTGTTACGTAGGGAATACTCGTCAAGTTTTATCATTTTGCGCAAGCGATTTGATATGCGACAACTTATACTTTCAACTTTGTGTTCGTTTATTCAAGAGCTAGTACTGTAAGACATCAATTAATACTAAAAAAATCAAATCAGCGGTAATTTTACAAATAGATTAATAGTACTAATCTAGTATAATTCTATACTCACACCTAGGTATGATTGTTAAGCCAATACACTTGAGAAAGCCGCAATAAATTCGGTTTGATTTTTTTTTATATACAAAAAAGTAGTTAAGAATCAAAAGCGAAACTTCTGGCAGGGTTTTGGGACCAAATTCTTTTGTTTGTGAATTTGTTAGAAGTCGAAATTTTCGATTGAGTCAGGACAGAATTTTTGCGTCCAAAGAAGTCGTTGAAAGGCAAAAGCGAAATTCTTGGTAAGGTTTTGAACGGAATTCCCATAGACAAATAAATCTTAGGAGGAAAACTTATCCTAAGTCTGCTCAGGAAGTTGTTAAAAAAAGACTTAGCTCCTAGCCAACTTTGAGGATGAAATTATTAAAGTCTTTGCCAACCACGAAAACCATATGAAATAATATCGTCTCATAGAATACTGCCGCTATTGTTGCAGACGTTTATTTGAAGAGTGTGCGTCCAAGCTCACTTGAAGGCGATAAGGCTCCCTCTCACAAGATCAATCGTTAAGTATTTTCTTAGAGGGCCCTCGAGTCTAGTCACACATTTTGCAACCACTGTCAAAACAACATTAAACAAAGTAACAGGAGAGAGAGGTACTGGGGCACGCGCGTCAGATTGAGGGGTACATGCAACAGTATGGGCGTGTTGCTACGCCACCGATACTGCACAAAGACAACGTACAGCTCTGGTACAAACCGGTATTACGCGTGGCGTCGCCGTGAACTTTAACGCCGCAGAATAGGCTGGACAGCGTCTCGTGACGCTGCAAGAAAATTAGGTAAGGAACATTTCTTGACCTTCATCGACGTATTTGCACAAACGTTTGAGTATAAGTGACTTCGTAAAAAGATCCTTGGAAATTTACTGGATGGCGAAGTTACGGAGAAGTTTAATATACCTCAGCAATCAAGGAAACTTATTCAGCGACGTTAAATATGTTACTTGAAAGGTATGCCAATGTGACAGCAATCGTTTATGATGCCTCACACAAGCTAACTAAGTTGTCGTTGCGAAATCGTTAAATAAAGTTATTGGCTTAGTTGCTAGACTTCAAAGATACTTTGATTCAACAATATGCTCCGCGTGCAATACCACATGACTTATCACTGAAACCTATGGTCAAGATTCATATATTTACAATAGTTCCACTCTTGTTGCGCTGCATGAAAGCTCGCAAGCTTTAGCATTAAACTTTAGCGGGTAGACAGGCAACACTGAAGCATCAGCGAAAACTGCTCGTGATATGAGACACGTCCTACATAACAACAAAAAGACACCCAACAGACAAAGTCGAAACAGTGGGAGGGCCGATGCTATTGTACGAAATGGTTATGCCGACAGCGAGACTAAGCATACTAGCGAGTACGGATTTTTTGGCTTGCCGACGTGTGTGACTACTCTTTCCGCTAAAAAACGTAGGGGAAAAAAAAGGGTGTTGTGTCCATAATGTCTGCGACAGTGCCACTACTCTAGAGAATATACAGAAAGCGCGAAATGCGAAAACTGCGCTGGATACCACAACTGTTATGGTATGCAGTCGCAAGGGATTGCTGCGTACTGAAGAGGTAAGGTTCCAGGTAGCATCAAAAGGTACAGCTAGATTTCTACTGGATAGTTGTTCGTAGTAAGGTTTTATTTAAGGTTTATTTATCATTATACTCTTCAGTTGTAGGTTTTTAGATACGAGTCACTCTGTCTATATGTGTTCGGACACCATTTGTCAGAGCGGCACCAATTAGTCGCTGTTCGTCTTAAGCTGATACCAAGGCATCATACTACTGGCGTTGGTGGTGGATACCATCGAATGATCTAGCAGCGTAGCTAGCCACGTTCAATATGGCTGAGCGAATTGGTGAAGCCTAAATGGTCAAGCTATCCTTGTTTTATGTGTTTAACATTTGCCTAAGAAAAGGTGACCACTGTGGCAGCGCCTAATTGGGCGTGCAACTGGATACACTCGATAAAGCAGTGGAGTTCACTATTGCGACTGATCAATTTAAGAATAGCATTAAACAGTTGGTTGACGTATGTCATCAAGTGGCGTTAATCTCAAAGCAAAGCGTAACGTATTGGGAATCCAATACCGCAATAGTATCCTGACAATTGGAAGTTGGAGCAAGATATTTGGCGGGCGCCAGTGAGTTCCAAGAAATATTTCCAAGATAAAGATAGTCGTGTTCATAACGGACGGCTTCGTAAAGTGAGTACTGAATAAAGAACCGAAATACCTTATTCAATGTTTACATGTTGCTCAGCCAGGGAGAAATTAGTAAATGTGTTTAATGCATCCTTTGCGGTTAAAACGATTGCATTGCTGGTTCACAGCCCTATTTGTTACGCACACAAACCACTCTTCAGTGGTACCACATTGTATTGATCGGTGATACCGGTGCAACGAAATTGTCTCTGGTTTGCTGATCAAAAGGCTTTGATAGGCAAGATAGCCTCTTAAAAGACCGTTTCGTTCGGTATTACAATATTATCAATCTGATCTAAAAGTTTCCTAAAACGTCCGGGATCTGCAAAGATTTTTGATAGGATCAGCTATAGTTATGGATGCTGTCTGGCTATGGCGAGAGGTATGCGTTTTTGGAAATGGCTGGAATGTCAATGAAAAAGAAACTGCCTTAAACTCTAATGGCAGTGCGCTCGAACGAGGTAGCGCACCATAAGGAATTACGAAAATACTCGAAGTAGCATAGAACTAAATGTTTTCCTTGTTCGCAGAGCATTGCATCGATTATCGTTACTACACCTCTGATGATGTAGACAGAGGGAGGATGCGCAAGGTTGTGACTCACAGAAATTTCTAGCATCGTAAGCAATGGTTTTCGCTCAAAGACTTCAAACGACACACCTCGCTTAAAAACCCAAACTGCTGAAGTGGTGGCTAGGCTGGTATAGTCAGGTAGAGGAGCTTTAGGAATCAAGATACCAAGGCCCTAAAACCTCTGGTTGGCAAGCGGGTGAGGCAAGTTGTACGTATTCTGTAGTGCAAGCGAGAATGTGTATGCTGGCGCTGTTTAAGTCTGCAAGTGTCTACGGGTCAGATCATTGGTGACGGGTAAGGCGAAGCTGGCGCCGCTAAAACAGCTCGACAGATTGACAATTTCTAAAAGAGGGCTGGTGACAGTTATGCTAGCGGTATGTTTATGGTGAACGATAAGCGTGTATTCGAACCTTGACGCTACACCAGCATACTTCTAACTCTCTGCAGAAGTGGGGTTGCAGTGGATCTGCTGGGAGTCCCATGGGAAATGGGATGTGTTCGTACGAACTCTACTGCACGAAATAATGGAGTGTTATACCAGCTCAATGGTTTCACTGCCGAAATGAAATGAATCTGACTGACTGACTTACTATCTCGAGGTACTATGATGATTAAGCTCAAAATACGTGCCAATAATTGATGAGTTTCAAATTTTTGCCGGAACTGTGTGATACCGGAAAAATCGTTACCGCGTTAAAATCTGGCCTACTGTGGACTCAGCTGACTTACGCTCGCTGCAGACTTTGGCTTACGTTGCGGTATGTGGCCAGTGGGCCGTTGTGTGATTCAGAGAAAAGAAAAAAAAAACAGAAAAAAACAATAGGTTACGGCGGGAGCATTGACAGTAGGTGAAATCACCGCAGCGAAGTACCGGCTTCTGATATAGGCGCAGCCATATTGCTTAGTGGTATGGCTGCGAATCTTGAACCTGGGGACCTGGGAATAGTTGCATTCAATCTTTTTGTTGATCTGGTAAGTTTAGTTCGATTTGGGGGTAGATTGCAGTTTAACGATGAAATGCTCGAAATACGATATCCTATGTAGCTGCGAAATAATGCGTTTATTCGGCTGCTCATTGGTGACATTTGTCGCGGACGTATGAAGCACATGAAAGCGGAAGCTGTACTTAACGGGTAGAGATCTAAGTATTGGGTCCTACGAGCGTGTATGTTGGGTAAATCGGCGAGAGATGGCAAGGATCAGACTTGTACTGTTAGAGCTAAGGGCCGTTGGTGGAGTCAAAAAGGTCCGAGAGGTTCAGAATTTTTCGGCCAGTCAGGAATCGTCCGGTGTTTCAATGTCTACGGAGCACGTGAACGGGAAATACAATGAGCGCCTCATGGGCCCGATGACCTGCTTACGGAAGATGATTGGCATTCGTAAGGTATCGCTTATGATTCTAATTACTTTGCTTTACGAAATGGTTGCTACTATAAATCGGCGGCTTCTTACTTTAATATCAGATCAGACAGAAAAGCTAAGTCTTGTCCCATCCACGTTCTAGCTCCACGAGTTACATTAACGATGCCTCGGATCAATTGGTCGATGCTAGGGGAATTCGCGATAACCTTGTTAAGCTATGACGCCAGTAGGGGCAAGTGCTTCGTGCGTTTTGTAAACAATGGAGCGAAGGGTATTCGCTGGTGTTCCTCACGGCTCACAGGCGGCAGTTGGGCAATCCTCGCAGGCCATTCGAATATCGTGTTGACTGGCAAACTCTGGCAGGAAGACTGAAAAATGCTATCGGGTCTAGACTATTGCACAGGCGCTTAGAATGCATATTGGTAACGGACATTACGTGGAGAGACTTAAAATAGAATTATTGCCAAATTGCTGCGACTGCATCTTGGTGGAGTTCTAGTGTAACAAAGCTGACTATGAGTGGTGTAATTCTGAAAATGTCCCTGCTGGGGAATTTGGATAATGTCCCTTTT